TTTCCAGAGACATGATAGATACAAACAACTTAATTGAAGCATTTCACCGTAAGTTAAAATATACCTATATGAGAGGATGACCAGGACGACGACTTGATAGTGAAGTATATCTTCTTATAGAAACAGTATTTCGAGACTTAGAATTTTCGGCTTTCTTGAATGAATTAAAAGTTAGCAGGATGAATCCACTAAGACGCCAACAACGGATTCGTGAGATTATAGGAACTACAAATTTCAATCCGAATGATATTTATAGTGTCGGCTCTAATATTTGAATTATACATTCTATAACAAATGATGACATAGAATATTCAGTCTGGAAAAAAGATTCGGTTAATAGCGATGACAATTTAAATATATCCTTATATATTTGCAATTGTCGTGATTTTAAAACATAACAATTGCTATGCAAACATATTTTTGCTGTTCTTAATAAGCTTTGTGCTAACTCTAGTCATGTAGAGGAAAGTAGTCGTGATTATCTCATGTTACAGTCTGTGAATCCAGTTGTTGAAGAATCTGATTGCCTTAGTTCTATTGGTCCTCTAGGTGATAAAAGCTTCGAATTTACAAAGCTGCAAGAAGAGCTTGCATCAATTAGTGCAGAATGGAAAGAAAAAAACAGTCAAGATATCCACAGTTTACGAATAATGCTCAGACAAGCCATTCAAATAGAAAGGACAAGAGCTACAAGAGTTAATATCATAGTTAGTAACACGGCTAGTAACAATATTTTAGAAGTATTTTAAATAGCACCAAATTCAGGAATAAGAAAGCAAAATAGATTTTAAATATTTATCCTATATAATAAGTTAATAATATAAATATAATAGATATTAATATTTATTCTATATAATAAATTAATAATATAGATATAATAGATATTACTTATCAACTCATTCAAAAATAAAATTATCTATTGTTAAAGTGTTTAATGAGTTCAGTTTTCATTCAAGTTGTAAGATAGATATTCAGGCTTTTATATTTGTTCTTTAATGAAAACTATAAATTAGTATTTTACCTTCTCTAAAATAAGTAAATTAATAAAAAGTATCATAGTTCTCTTGCAAAATAATCATTACTATAATCGTTTTGCTATGGTTTTAATCACTTGATCCATTGGCATAGTAATAGTGATTGGAAATTTTTGAATAAGTAACTGGCACCAATGGCCAGTAAAGAAAAATAAAACTATCCGAAAGTATCTGCCGATGAATAACAATGCACATTTTGATTGTAAATATGACTGCAAAATATAAAGAGAAAAACTAGTTAGTATCAGGATACAAGTAATAAATAAATAAATACTTCACCCCAAAAATAAAATTCATTAATAAACTATTTTTTTAATTGTCTAATTTAATTAAAAAATTTTTTTATTAAGCTAAACGCTTTAACTAAACAAAAAGAAAAACTAACCAATTAATAAATTATTATCAAGTGCACATTAATCTAGCCCTATTTGTCTAGGTCTTTTTTATTTTTACGATATCCTTCCTAATGACATATTCTTCACTAACAAACATATTCTTTTCTAACAATACATTTTTCCCTAACAATATATTCTTTTCTAATGACGCATACAAATTACTCAATAAGAGTGGTAAGCATTATTCGCACCTACTAATAGTATAATTAAAAAATCTTAGATTAAAAGAAAAAAAAACTTTAAATACCTTGACCATTTCCCTCATATTCAAAACCAATATTTCGTATTAGAATTAGAAATTTCCCTCTACCTTTTCATTATTGTTTTTTTCATTTATTTTATTTCTTCATTTTCTTTTTCCCTCTTCTTTTTTTTCTTTTTTTTAAAAAAAATTTGTCTACTAAAAGCCTTACAAGTCTCGATTAGCAAAATAAAAACATCATCAATCCTACACATTATGGCAAGTCTCTATGATACAGTTATGGCCGAATTATTAGGTCACAATGGTAGTATCATTACTAGTGATCCTATTGGTGCTCCTTATAATCTATTACAAGATTATCAAGCCCAAGTTGCAATTATCTACCAATCTTTTCTTCAATCTAAAAGAACAGGAAATCAAAGGGTGCAATTATGATACGCCTATTATTTGAGCGAAATCTTGGAGAACATGTTGCCAAAACAAAGAACAGCATGTACCAAACAACTTACCAGATACTATACTACTGTGACTGTTAGAATTTATTATATTTTCCATAGGTGGGGAACTGCCATAATGGACAAAACTACAAAGCTAATAGTGCCGATGATCTATAAATTAAAAAAAAAAATTATCAAAGAATTGTAAATTAAATTGGTGTTACAAG